GGATCAGTCAAAGGGCGGCCAGGCCCCGCCGCACGGAGGGGTTCCCCCAGCCCTCTCCTGCCCGGGCGGGCCTCGGGCGGCGCCGGCTCCTCTGCCATGCACGGCCGTCCAGGGTGAAAAGTCCCAGCTGCAGAACTGAGGGTTGCAGCTGGCGTGGAGATCGACGTGATTTCATGAAGCATTTTTTAATTTATTTTATTTATTATTTCATTTGGAAAGTATATTCGATGCATGCTATCGAGGTGGCAAAGTTATCTGGTATTAGAAAATGTCTGGAGTGGGATGGTGCAACATTAGTTCAGTCCTCTTCTACATATGCATTAATAAAATTTTCTGTGATCCTCTTGTTTTGAAGCACTCTTGTTCAGCATATAAACTCCACATATTTGTTCTCTTTTTTTTGTGTGTGTGTGTGTGTGTGTGTACACGTATGTCTTGCTGACCATACAGCATTCAGGTCCTGCCTCCGAAAAGAACAGTTCAATCTCTCGTGAGCTTTTTTACTCATGTGTGAACATGTAACAACAAATACTGTATTAAAGTATAAAATATAATGCTGTAATACACAATTTTGTTGTACTGATTGGAATATTTTCCATAAAAACACTGAATAATCTTAGAATAACCCAGAAACTACAGAAATGTTTCGGTAAGAAAGTGTGGCATGGTGAACAGTTACGGTGGTGTATTTTTATCAGATACTCACTAGCCTAAAAATCAGCGTTGGGATTGAATGCAGACACGGCAAAAGAAAGGAAAGCAATCCCTATGGCTTAGTCTGGTAATCCTCTGAAAGTAAATTGGCCCTACTCTAATCAACATAGTGATTGGAGAAAAAGTGAAATCACTTCACTTCCAAGATAATAAATGCCAAATGCCAGAAGGTGTCCTTGCGTGTTTCAATATACAGCTATTTTCTGCTCGATGCGTGTTTCTTATGCTACTCATTCAGCCTTTTTTTGCCATGAAAACAAAGCCTGCTTTAATTAATGAAGTTCAGGTTCACCTAGCTTGCCCTGTTGTGATAGTCCAGTTCAAAATGTTACCTGCTCTGCCCTTTAAAAAAACTGCAGTAATATAACTTTTACCCATTTAAATGCATGACTCGCACTGTTCCCTTTCTAGGTTTGGATGTCCAGACCCCAAACTGGGGAGACCGAGGAATGCACTCAAACACCGTCTTTCTCCCAGGAGTGTCACTTTTTTTTGAACCAGTCTTGTTTTAGAAATACTACTGCATTCTGTTCTAATTTTCCAGAGCCCCCTAATCTTCTTCCAGGCTCTTAATGATGTAGTCGATAATAGGATTGTTGGTATTAATTTGGAACAATAATGCCAGCTGTTTGCTTGGTGGCTATTGGCAGAGGGGTGACCTTGCAGGTCAGCTAAGCAGAACTGGAAGTGCTTTGATCTGATCTATACAGAGCTAGATCTGTCCACCCGAACAAGAGGAGCGAGTGAATTCTCTCTCCATGGGATGCTGATTCTTCTCCAAAGAGCAGGGAGGACAGCATGGCAGTGGCTTTTGATGCAATCCTCGCTCGGATCAAGGATGTTTGTAAAAGAAATGGTTTGCTCATTCTCTCGGTCTTGTCGGTCACCATTGGCTGTCTTCTCGGATTCTTCCTGAGGACAAGACGGCTCTCCCAGCAGGTATGTGTGGCATGGCAGTGTATCACTACAGAGAAAATATCGCACTTACGTAACAAAAGACATAGCAACTTGTGGAACTTCAGGATGGACTTTTCAAGATAAAAAGCACGTATGTGTGTTTGTTAAATTTGTTTAATTTCATTTGTTTGTTAACCTACACTGTTCTTTGGGTCTTTTCACACATTCTCAAACAATACGTTGGCAATACGTTGTCTTTAAGACACCTAGTAAGTCTAGCATAAGCACATTATAATGTTGCAAGTATGGATAATAATAGTGGGTGTTTAAGCTAGATGAAATGTAGCATCTAATACAGACCTGTTAAAAACTGGAAGTGCAAGATATTAATTGGATTTTATATTACTTTGGAACATGTATGTCTAAAGAAAACACTGGGAATATTTTTCATCATCAGTTGTACAGAGGTAGAGATGTTTATATTACACCAATGCTATTTTTTATTAATAAATTTGAGGTTTCCCATCATTAGCAGACCATGTTATAAAGTCACTTGGGGATTTCTCCTCCAGCTTACTTCAACTAAGCTCTTTGCAGGTACTAATTTTTTTCTGCTGTGTTAGACAGAATAGAGAGGGCAACATGCATCACTGAATGCATTGTTTGAGCACAAAATATAAATCTCAATTAAAAAATATGGCACTTAGTAAATGCGACTAAACTAAAACAATCCTATGTTCTGCTACTGCTAACCGCTGAGTGAACATCTTTTGTGGCAAAGAAGTAGCTTCATACACATCTAGCAAAACACACAAAATGCAGAATGACAAGATTATTCAGGGCAACCTATTAACAGTAATCCCCAAGAGATGGCATATTTAATTTTTGTCTTGCTTCGTAAAGGAACGATGTAGTGTGTTTTTGTTGAATTACAACACAATATGTAATCTACTTAATTTTAAAATGATCTTTTAAAGCCTACTATCTTTGCCACCTTGTATACCAAAGCTGCAGGTTTTACCAATGTTGTCTGAGCCACAGCTCTAGCAGGACTCATGAAGACAGATAGTCTTTATCTCAAAACAATAAGCATCTCTCCATGTATTTCTAGGAAATTAGTTATTTCCAGTTTCCTGGTGAGTTACTGATGAGGATGCTGAAAATGTTGATTCTCCCACTGGTTGTCTCAAGGTAAGTGAGGACAATGATTGTTCCAATAACTTTTGAAGTTTCCTAAATGAGACATGTCATCACCACTATTTTAGTTTTAAATGAATTAATGTCAAAGTGCCAGAAGCATGACTGACTACTGTACATTCCTATTTATAGTAGAGCTATGAACATGTTTTTTAATGGATAGCATCATTTCCACAATACCTCATATAGGTATTATTTGCTTAAAAACTAATGGGTTTTTTTAAATTGATGTTTTCTTCTTTCCTTGTAATGGGAGGACTTTTTCCTTCAAGCTAACTAGAATTTAAATATATGGAATAAATAACCCACCTTATCGAAAAGCCTACCTTAAATCTAAACAATTGAAACAATACACTATACAAATAAGATGAAAAAGCACAATTAATTTATAGTCTTCTGCAGTATTTTGAGATATGTAGTATGATGAATATTGGGAAAAAAAATGTGTCTCCAGTGAACTAATAATATATATGGAATATAATATTCCAGCATCAGCTGGAAGTGAAAGTGATTTCTTAGTACATTGAAGGCAGAACCTTTAATGGTGCCGTTTTATTAGTAGCAGTAGCAGTATTCATGATCTAGATCCAGGTACTGATGGATGGTGCATGGTAGCTGCCTTTGCAGTGGGCAGGCATAACTTAGGATAGCTTTTTCTCTCCTCTAAATTTGTCTTGTCTTCCAACTGACTACAATCACAAATACCAGTTGGATGGCCAAAAGCTCTCAGCCCAATGCTGACAGAAGAGATAAGAGAGAGAGATGGGGAGTAACAAAGCTAACTTCACCTAACCAGATCTGAGAAAAAAATCTTGCACTCTTTGGTGCCTTTCCTTGAAGCCTCAGCTTCTAGAACCGAATACATATGTCAAAACCTCATCTTCCATTTTAAGAAAAAAATAAGTTTCTAGGCTTCAGATCACTGAGAGTTGCTGAAAATAAACACAGCCCAGCACTAATTTTATTTTTAAGTCATCTACCTTTACATCTACCTTCTCATGGTTTTTCACAGAATGAAGCTGAGATATGGTGCTTCGTGCCTGAAACTGGCCGTATGACCATAGGCTCATACCTGGTTCTGTGCCATGTTGCCAGAGAACACCAAAACAAAACATGTTAAGAGATTTTTTTCAGAGGTGGAAGGAGAGTTTTCCAAGGAAAACAAGAATCTGACATGAGGAAGTGACGTAGTAAGGAGGACAGAAAAGGGTTGAAGCAAAATCACATGCCTTTCCCTAAAATGTGTAGCTCTTTAGATCCTCTTGTGTTTTTTAGAGATGTCAGGAGAAGCAACAGTACAGTAGGGAAGAGCTGCTCTGACACAGCCTGTGATAGCTCTAGGTTACCTACAGATGTGTCAGGAGTGAATCTCTGAGCTGCGCTGTTAGAACTTATGGAGTCTATCATCTGAGGAAGAAAGAGAACAAACTTTACAGATCTTCAAAGGGATTAAGTCTTCTTGCAAGACAGTATTTGTCTATCTCCCTGTATAACAAACTAACCATTACTTGTTATTCCATACCGAAATTTCAGGTTTCTGCAAGCAAAAAATACTGCAGATGTAATTACATTCTTGTACAGTCCTTTTTTTTTTTTTTTACAAGCACAGTATTTCCCACACATATATTTCACAAAATCAGTAAACCAGTGCTCTGTATTTTTACCAATCTATCTGCATGCACATTTAAACTAAATTTCTTTGTGGATTTGGAATATTGTCAGCCTGTCCTACAGAAGCAATGACATTTAAATTACCTTTTAAATTACTCTGTATTATTGTTTACAAAAGCCAGGGGTGCAGCACTGTAAAAAAAGCTCAAAGTCTTATTCTCCTAGTTGAAATGAATGCAAGTTTTTCCTTGAACTAACAAGTAAAAAATAACTTGTAAAGAAAAGGAAAGGTGAGAAAGGAGGGTTAAAAGAGGCACTAAGTGCAAAATACCCTGTCTCCAGACCCTGAGTTTATCTTGAAGGGTTGTAGCAGAAGTAAAAGGTGGCAGGTGTGTGGCTCAGAAGATTGATAATAGACTAGAAAATCTTGCACTTATAGGTTAGTAGCACAAATCCAACCTTAAACAGGAGTGGCTGAAAATTTGTACTATCCCTCTTTTGACCCGATAGAGAGTTAAAACAGGAACTTTGCAGATTGTATCCATTAGAAGGAGAAACTGATGATATAGTCAGGTATTTCTGAATGGTGTTTATTATAAAAGTTCCTTGAATGCAGAAGAAATCAGTCGAACAACAGGAGACTGTTTCTTCAGTGTACTGTTCCTTGTTTTACCCAACTCTGTCCCAGCACCTGGAAGTGCTGTATCCCAGAGCTACTGTACCTGTTTCTGATATCTCCTGTCACTTGTGATCCTACTTTTTGTTTTCCCAGAGACAAAAAAATGTTGAAAAAACAACCACCAGTAAAACTAGCCTTCCAGTTTGAGCCCTTCATGAGCTTTTGTTTTTGTTGTGATGTGGACCTTCATTAAGGATGGGGGTTGATATTATTTCAGTTATCTGGTTACATAAACAGGCTTCATAGCATCATACAATGACTCTAAAAGAAGTGTATATTGATTTCCACCATCCTCTGCCTGAGGTTTAGCCCTGTTCATACCTATTAGTATCCACTAAGTGTCTCGTGTATGGAGTTTGGTCTTCTCACTGATGAGAACAGGTACCCACATAACAAAGGATGCTGCTCCTATTAGCAACATAGAGAAAGAAATAATAACAAATATTTGTCATTTAGGGGAGTGCTACAAGATCAAATTTAGATCCTGCAGTTACCAGAGGTATAGTACTTATTGTATGTATAAACATAGGATACTACTTTTAAACCTGGGAATGGGAATATTAAGAGAGCTCAGAGAGAATAGGAGCCAAATCTGAATTCATAGTTACACACTTACACTCTGCCTGAGCTTTTACTGCAGTTGGACAAGGGGATCTCAACAAGCCTGAAAGATCGACTGCAGGAGATCTGAAGTTCCCTGATTCTCTTTGGGACAGAGGCCTTGATCCTCATATGACAACTGCAATGCAAATAATGTATTTTCTCCCTTATATGCAAAAGGTTTCAGCACGTATCTCAGGTTTTCAAACAGGCACACACATACGTGGCAGTGACAGAGGTGAATCTTAGTGCTTCCTGCCCTGAGTCCTCTAATATGTTTAAAAAAATATGGGTCCAGGTCTTCAGACAGACATCTGCTGATCAGCTGGCCCAAGGTGCTCAAGTTTGTTAAACCATCTTTCCTTCCATCTAACGCATTTCCCGGCGTGTGGAGGCTCAGTCTGTATTACACCCTTTAGCCAGGAGATGGCTCTGTCTAGAAGACTGAAGAACCACGAGTTGTTACGGGTGTTCAGTCGCTCCAGTACAGGGAGGGCCTCTGCGTCTGGGAGGCCGTTCATCCGAGGCGTTTTCTAATAGTGCTACCTACCCAGAAAATTTTAAAATATCTACTCTTTTTCAGTATGGTTAATTATAAACTCTTCCCGCCCCTCCCTCCCCCCCCCAAGTCAGTTGGCAGAGATACCTGTGCATCACTTTAGTTTCTCAACTTCTTAAATGCTTGAAATAATCAAATCTGATGTCAATGCCTTTGTGCAGTGCACGAAGCAAAAAGCTGGGAGAGGAACAAACACTCAGCTTTCCCATTAATATCTTCTCACATTTGCTAAAGATAATATAAACCCTCTGACCAAATCCTGTCTGTGCCAGTAGTGCCAGGCAGGGCGCTGGCTTGAGCGCAGGCCAGCCATGCTGGCAGGTACTGTGCCATAACTCACGCGCTACCACCTCCCTTTGGACTGTCTTTGTCCTTGTGCCCATTCCCTGCCCCATCGTCTTCATCTCAGGTTACCAGTTTTGTACTGATCGACTTCCAGTGGGCCAGAAACTTGACTTTCAGTAAGAGTGATTGCATTGACTCAAGTTTTTTGGGGAGGCCATTACTGAAACCTGATCTGTTACAACTTTGTATCTTCTTGTGACTGACGTCTTGACAAAGCTGCAAACTCTGACTGAAAAATTTAACCAGTGCTGAGGGATTTATAATGCTGCTTTTTGACATGGATTCCTTCCAGTAGGCAGAGAGCTTACGCCGTGGCATTTACCCCAGAAAGGAAATTCAACTCCCTGTTCAAAACGCAGAGGTGCCAGTGAGCCCGCAGGGGAGAGGAGGTCTGGCTCGCAGGGCGCTGCAGAGCTCTGGGCAGGCACGTGCCACGTGCACCTGCGTCTTCAAAGACTAATTGCAGAACGCGTGTGCTGCAGATCTGTAAGGCAGGCTGGAGAAGAGGCAGGGCTTGCAGCCCCTGGTTCTTATTTCAAGATAATACTAGAAGCACACAGATTCTTTCTTTCCTGTATTCAGCCAGATAGTTTCACAGACCTTACAGGAACCTAATTCTCTTTTTCGGTGCCTTCCATCCCCTCTGCGTTATTTGAGAGAAAAATGAATTAAAATGTTATTAGTAAGGGCTCTCACATGCACAGAGTTTGACTGCATAAATCTTGCTTCTTCAGAAAAGCAGGCTAGAGCCAGAGTTACACAGGTTTACACCAGCTGAATTTACTGAGTTCTCTTTGCCTTATATGTCTACCTATATATGTAATAGAATATTGCATCCTTTATTTCAACACCCTCCTTGTTTATATGATTAAGCTTTTATCTGATAATAAATATAGGGCCCAGTTTTCTAAGACTATGATTAGCAGTAAGCACTGAGACTACTTTTTTTGTCAGGGCAGAATTGAACTGTTCAGCTGTCTAACAGGCTTGTAACCCCAGTGAATATTCCTTTTAGAAAAAGCAGTTTGTTTTGTTTAAGCTTAGGATAATTAGTACGGTTTTTATGTATTTACCACTAACTGTTTTCTAGACAATTAAGAAACAATGTTTAGCAGACATTTGACCCTTTTCCACATGCAGAATCTCTTAAAGAAAGATTGTTCCCTTTATAGTCAAATCTAAATAACTGATTTGACCTGT